TTTATTGCATTCCACAATGTAGTATTAGGATGTTTAAAAAAAAAAACAAAAGTATCATTTATGATAATTAATGTTTGTAAATTATTTATACCTTGAGATATAGTAAAGTAGTAGATAGTAGTTTTTAAAGAAGTCTATTGTTTGTGACCAACTACATTGACAGTCCGGATATCGACTGGGTAGTGGGAGCGTAGGAAATAAAATATGTACATGAAGCGGAACATTAGTGTTGCTATCAGAAATTCTAAAAATGGGCAGACGTAAAAAACTAAACAGCGAGTACCAAATATGATTGAAAAAATATCATAACATCGCTTGTACTATCGAAATTCATCAGGGTAAATATTACCAAGATAATTCGATTGATTAGAATTGTTGCCCTGGTTACCAATATATCCTGGTTTGATTGAGTCATACCTCTGAAAAAATGTCCCGTATCAGTCCAGTTACATATGGCCATTAATGAATTTTTAGTGTGTAAGTCGATGTGGTCCATTTACGAGCAGTATCTTTTGCTGAGGCTATTCATTAGGGTCAATATTTATTACCGAACTATGAAATACATGCTTTTTGTGCAGGTTGGATACGAAGTAGTTTATACCAACAAATTCGCGCTTGGTCTGTTAGGTTGGTTATTTCCCGTTCTCCCATTATTCTATCGTAAGGAAAGCCTGTGCGCCAGTAGCGGGGATGCGATAACGTTTGTGATACTAAAAAATATGTAATATGATACATATTACATTTTATTCTGAAAAAATCAAGTGGTTCTCATTACTGTAACTGACCAAAGCGTAAGTCTTTATAGAAAATAATTTCATTGCTCAATTGTGCTGTCGTGTTTGGGTGCTATAACCGATGTGACCTTCTCGGTCAATTGACAATAGCGCCTACGCACGACTTTCTATCTCCCGGTTTGATTTTATTACATTCAAGAAAATTTATTTTCAATCTGGTCCTTGCCCGTTTAATCTCAAATGTCTTCAAAAGTAGAAGCTTTCGCTTTCTGAAACGGCATTTATTATGTAAATTGGATTTATCATTTTAAACTTTGTACTTCCGTGTATGTTTTCTATTGTTTTATGTAAGACCACTTACATATTACGATTTTTTGTAGCGCTTATTATTCCAGTAGTTCTGACGCTGCAGCGAAAATGTTCCTTATTAAAACAGACACGATACAATCACTGTGAGCTCGGATGGCGCAGTAATTAATGCGTCAGGTCTGGGATGCGAGAGTTGAGGTTCTTTTGCAAGGACCAGTCATAGGAGGGGTGACTATAACATGATTATATCGAGTTTGCTTCAGACGGCGTCTGCGGCAATTATTAACAATCACCAAAGGCATAAAAGAACTGCTTTATTAATTGACAAACGATGCAAGTTTCAATGTTCGCAAATGTCTTAGATTTCTTTGCTTATAATACAGTTGCTCCGTTTGTGAAACGTATTTAGTATCGTGATGTATAAAAAATTGGAAACCAGCAACATCGGCAGATGAACATTTAAACAAGAGGCAGTGTTTTCTAACAGCGATATTGTAATTTTCTTACAAAGGAGTGTTGTTTTAAAACCATTCAATGATTAAATAAGTATTTTTATTCAAATATTGAGGGCTTTTGCCGAAGCAGCTGTTCGTTAAACCAATTTTTGTTAATTTATTTGTAAGGGTAATTATAGAATGCTTAATTTATTTGTTTCTTTTTCTATAGTTTTTGCGTGCTTAATTTCATTGAAGTTAGAAGAAGAATTGAATTGGAATATATCGTCAAAATGGGAGTCTGTTATTTATTGATTTTACAATAATCGTATTGGTTAGTACGCTACCTTAAATTTATCGAGTTCCTGATATTGAATGGTGACTTAGTGAACGGATACGGGTGCGGGTTACGGGTGGTGGTGAAATGGTCAGAAGACTCGAATGAGCGTAGATTGATATATCTATCTGCAAATAACAAACACCATATCTACACCATCAAGACTTCAGTTGCTCCGTGATTATATCTCTTACGTCCCGAAGTATCGGGGATTATCGCATGATAAATTGACATGGTAGCAATCCCGTAAACAGATATCAGTTTTCAAGTATTTTTATTTTTCTCATTGACTATCCTCGTGATATTCTCTTGTTATCTCTTCACCTTTACGTGAACTCTTATTGTTGTAACTGTCTTAAAAATGCCTTTCCCAAAGAAAACCTTAATTACAAATATTTAAGAAACATTTTTATATAAACTCATTTCTAAAACTTGTGTTTTACAGTTAAATAGAAATAGACGCGTGTGTTTTCTATAAAAATGTCACATAGTCGCCTACTAGTGAGTGTTATTGATCATTAATTGTCCCACTTACTACCGACCTCTCTTTAGTCTCTGTATTCCGAGCGCGCCTGTAAAAATAAACCCAAGTATGTATGCAAGGGGGAGATCTTGACAATGTTTATTTGTGATTTCTTTCTGCATTCTCAACGAACCCACTATAAGCTAGAGTTAAGGAATTTAGGAATTAAATACAAACTATGCATCTTCCACGTTCAGGAAGAGCGTGTACTGTCTGGAGTTATATTTTTCTGACTCTACTGCCACTTGCTCCGATTTGGAGTCGGAATATCCGAGTAATTCGAGTCCCTTGTCTTATTAATGCTCAAAGCGTTTTAACTAAATTATGAATTAATTTGATTTACAGTATTCGCAAGATCCAATCTTTAAAATATGCCCATGGGCTTTTTAATTATGTTTGATTAGGATGATTTTTAACTGACTTCAAAATACCAAAGAAGGAGGTTTTATGTTCGACGGAAATGTATTTTTTTTTATGTATGTTCACCGATATTTCCGCCAATTGTTGACTGACTTACAAAATTATTTTTTTATTCGATAGCTTAATGGACCGAAATGGTCTTATTTAAATTTTATCGAAATCAAATAGTAGATTTCCTTTAATAACAAAACAAAATACGCTTTTCACCAAATATCACGCAAATATTTGTAAGTCCCATTTCATATGAAAAACAAAAGATTGCGTATTTGGACTGGAATTCATTCAAAATCCGAAAGGTGATTTTAATATTTCGAGTGTTTTTGAATTAACAAAAGACTTTAAAAATATAGAACCGACCTAAAACTTAAATAATATGATAATTTTTAAAGTTTGAAGTCGGTTCAATAGGTATTTTTAAAGATTTTTTTAATTTGATTAACATAATGAGTTGGCATTTCTACTTAAGATGTAAATATTGCGTTTCGCTTCTAATAATGTTATCAACGGATGACTCATTTGAATTTGTCATATATATAACGTATTTGAGCTATCGAAACTACTAGTTCATATGGTAAGGCTTGAGTGCATATTTCAAAACATATCTTATTTATATTTACGATGCATTAACTCTTTTCTCTCGTCATACACATTATTTTCCTGCTTTAGATATATCTATTTTATATTTCCATCACTATTGCACACACTCCCTCACTCTCACCCTATTCTAGTCCATATTTATTTCCCTCTACCGCCTTTTTTTGCCTAAAACATGTCTTGTTGAGGTACGTGTTATAAAGATTATTCTGTTATAAATTTAATATTAGTATGGTGGGGTGAAAGACAGACTCGATCTCCCCCGGTTTATTTTTTGTAATTTATCAAGAAAGCATCCGTGCGTCTGTTAGCGAAGTACACACATTCTTTTCACCTTGAGTCAATAGATTGATAGTGATCGAATATTGATTAGATAAATGTTTTACATACATTTAGTGTGTCATGCAGAAACTTGAACAAAATTTTTAACATTCAACACCAGGCTATTCATTTCTACACCGCTAGGTACAGGCCTTCCGAAATACGGAGAAGCTCGAGAAAAATACATTATTGCTCAATAATCCTATAACCGAATTTTCAACATTATGATGAATTATTTAAAAAATATTAAATTAAGTATTAAACACTAAGCGATGTCATCAAAGCGGATTGATGAGAGAAATTATATAAAAAAAATCAAAGACAGTAAGCGCTTCAATAAAGAGAAATCTTTTTTCTAAATTTGGTATTAAAAGAAACACGAAGAATGAAAAAATATGACGATTAGTTCTCGAAATTCAATTTAATTCTATTACATTACATCATTTATAATTTGATTGCCTCCAGCAGGCCAGTTGATGATTACGTAATAATTGCATCTCAATAGAATCTCAACGATCTGCATTTTTCCATATCTTCCTGCAATCAAATAATGTTATATATCTGTTACTCTTGAACGAGAGACTTGAATGATGAGGCAGACATAGCGCTTATAATAAATATAAAAAGTTCCTCATTTAATAAAAAAAAAAATATGTAAAGTTTTAAAGAGGTCGAAAATTTTGTGTGCGGTTACAAAAACTAAAAATACACAGCAATTATTCAACACACTACCAGACAGTTTGAAAAATTTACCGTTTAATAAATTCAAATTGTCATTGCATGATTTTGATAAGTTTTAAATCATATTGAAATTTTTAACTATATTTGACATTCTTTTATTCTAATTATAATTAAATATTTACATTTCTCTGTTTCTGAATTGAGAATCATAAGTAAAGAACGTCTCAAACTGTGCTTAAAACTAACTTATTTAAACAGATTTTCGTGTTTTATTTTATCTTTAATAATCAGGTGATATCAGTTTAATAAAACTAGGGCTTTTTGACTTGTAAAACGTAAAAAACTTAAGGTATTTAGAATAATTCGTTGAGATTTTGCACTTTCTCAATTCAGAAACTGGCTCTAAGTATTAATAGACATGTTATGGATCACAAATGAAATTAAAAACTGTTATTACCACATGTTTAAACTCCAACGCTGTTCCGTACATTTTGATTTTCCTTACTCCGCTTGCTTGGACCACTTGTTGTACTGTACTCTGCACCAAAATGGTGGATGATGAGTTTTCTAGAATAAACTTCAAGTAAATTCTAACTTTTTACTCTCTTTGTTAATAAAATAATGATTTTTTTAAACATATTTTGCAGGTGATAATAGAGTCGCATAAAGAGCTACGATGTCCCGAATGTCGTATCTTGGTGGAGGCGAAAGTGGAAGAGTTGCCGCCGAACGTTTTGCTCATGCGGATCCTGGAGGGTATGAAGAACTCTGCGCCAAAGAAGCCCACCAGCTCTGGTCATAGGAAGGCGGGACATCCCACGGTAACCTAACCCTTTTTATTTATTTTTGTATCATAGTGAGAATACTTTAAGCAAGCCTCTGTGGGTTCTCCTAGGCTATTCGCTCGATGGACACACAGAGGCCTGCACACTACAAACCCTATAATGTACCCTCACGTGGGAAGTATGAGACCTCGGAAGCCGTAGCCAAGTCACAGGGACACCCATTCCCATTAATGTGACATGGTAACCTAATCCGTGTAAATATCTTGAAATATGTTGACGTCATCTATTTATTACTTTTCATTCATTTCCATGTAACAAGAATAGGAGTCGGCAGTTCCCTCTGCTCTTGTTCAGTTACTATTAGGTAAAAGTAAAAAGGAAAAGTAAATGAAAAGAAACTCTCTTTATGTTTATTTAAGAAAATAATTTAAGAACATTTGTTCCATTGTGGGTACTATTAGCAACTAGTATTTTATAATTTCATTAGACCGCTAGCAAACGACGGCATTTAGTCAGACGTCTCCCCCTCTCCGGTTGATTCTACAGAGATGGGTAAAGTGTAATCATAATAATTTTTTATTGTATTTGTCAAGTTTATTCTGCATTCGAGATGATATATTGTAGGTAATCGTATTTTTATATCGACAACATGTAATCTTCAATTATGAGTGAATGTAAGAAACATTTTCTTTAAAATACATTGTTGATCATGATTACATTTTGCCTATCTCTGTATTTATAACGTATTGTTTATAAGGTGTGGTCAGATTATGGAGATTATATTAGCCAAAGACTAACAATAGTTAAAATAGTAAAGACTATAAAGTCATGTGTAAGATTTTGCCACCATCATCACATTTTGCCGTTTTGCTGCCGACTAGATCTTAAATTTAGTCGTTGAAAATCTTCAACTGCTGCTCTACAATAACAAAATATTTTAATAATTTAAAGCAGCTTTTTTCCAATCGAATCGGTGTATAAAAGAAAAGTTATCTCGATACTTATTTAAGTAGAGAGATAACAGCTGAAAAGGTTTTTTTCACGAGTTTAGGGATAATGATTCGAATTGATACGAGTTAGTGCATAAGTATATCAATTTATACCTGATAACAATAAATAATAATTTGACACAAAAATGCGTCAATTTGAACTGTGACGTAATTGTTCAAACTACAGCCGTATGACAGCTAACTAGACATGTCGATTAACTTTGACATTTATTCATCTTATAATCGATTGAAATCAACCGCAATTTTGGTATATTTTAAGTAATATTATTACGTTATCATTTGTGTTTGCATTAAATTATCTTTATAACAATTTCGCCCTTTTGGCCGGCACCCGATTGGACGGCAGAAGAACTGCAAGCGAGCGATACTTTAATGGTGCCGAGCCGTTATTTTTATGTGATGCGAACATAACCAGTTGGCGAAGTTAGTTTGGATTACACAAAATATTAGCGCGAATGAAATTTGATAGATTTTCGCGAATTTGTTGTCTCACGATTATTTTCCGCCAATGCGAATATTTGTATATGATTAAATATGTTGCAGATTTGATAGAATAAATTCGCGCATTAAAATCGCTATGTCCCCCTAAAGGTGCATATTATTAATTTAAAGTAGGTTCACATACAGAAACCCGCGAGGGACCTGCCCTTTTCAGGGCGGGCCGAAATGGGGGCGAACCGCGCGGTGTATGGCCTTCGGGTTGGTGCATTTCCATTTCCATGCTAGGGACATCGCTGAGTTTTAGTGGGTAATCTCCTGCTTCTTGTCTAGCCCCCTTGGGGGTGGGGTCGCAGGAGTCCCACATAATCCGAGAAGCCCGCGCTGGGTGTACCGGATATGCGTAACGCATTTTCCAGCGGCAAAAATACAAAAAAAAAAAGTTTCACATACAGAATACAGAATGACCTCTTTAAACTCTAAATAGTGTCATAAATTTGAATATTCGTATCCGTAATGTCGCTTTATAAACTATTGACACCTTTAATGAACCTTTTTGCAATGAGCAGAATGTGGTACACACAATTGCAGTGGATAAGTGAGCACGAAATACAATCGCCATGCCAATAGATTTTTCGGTGCGTGAATTTTATTAAAATTTTACAAATTGCGAGAATAAATTCCAAGTTACCTGCGTTCTCTTTTTTACACAAATTATTCGTTCGGGTATATCCAGTTTGCTATAGATTAAATGAGGTTTATTCGCGCGATTTTTTTCTGCCGTTGCGAATATTCTTATATGATTCCGTGTGTTATAGATTTGCGAGAATAAATTCCATGTTGCCTGCGCTCTCTTGATGTGAATTTTGTATAATTTAATTTGAATCCACGCTTTCGACTTATTGTTTATGCTTTTACTGCTAACATTTAGCTGTGCATATTACACTTGTATACCTTGTTATTTATATTCTTCCTGCAGGCTTGTTTTTCCTTCTATAATCCTTTGTGATTATACATCACATTTTTTTTTTCTACAGTAAACTCGCAGAATCCACGGTACACAACTTTATACTTTGTGTATGTATAAATTTATATCGCGTAAAGAGAATCTTTGAAGTTGTTTAAGTTTATAAAATTGTGTTGATACTCAGCTCCGATTACTTCATCCTACGTCGCGCGTTTGCAATTTTACGAGTCGAGCACAAATACTGAGAAAAGATTTAGTGATTGAAGACGATCCTCTTACAACAGGGTACCAAACACGAGTGGAGTTGGGTTCGGAGCTCTCCTTGCCGGGTCCCGATTTCTTCCCCCCTTTATAAAAAAGGAACAGAACATTAAATAAATTTTAATGACACTGTACTAACTTTAGTACTATTTTATCGGACCAAAACAAGTCAATACGTGTCAATTTGATTTAGGCTTTGTTAATTAGTTTTAGGCGGCCAATGATTTACACCACGTTGCCCAATCTTTGTGTGTCTTTTTGTTAGACAAGGTGATACAATCTTTGTGGTCTCGGGTTCGAGTCTTGCTCCTTACTGTGAAACTTGGTAGGCTTCGCGAGTAATATTATAGTAGTTACACATCACAGCTTATGCGGTAGTTCAAACTGTATTGAACAATGAGTTAATATATTAGAGAACAATTGTCTCGGATCTGGGTGTACCTGCGTGAAAACTCCAAAGAAAGTAGTGTAAACAGGCCCGTTAAGTAAACCCTAACGGACCCTTCTACGGAGCTCTAGTATTCCGCGGGCCATCTCTCGAGAATCGATGTAGAAGTAGACGGCCAGTTTTTCGATTTATACAAATATTATAATATATAAATAGTATTTACTATATAATGTTTTATTTGAGAAAATATATATTTTTTTAATATGTTACTGTTGGCACACTGCCAAGTGTTATTTACCACAAGGATCGTCTGAAAGAGATTGCATTTGCCCACCCTAAAATTAAGAAATCTGATGTTTACTTTTTCATAAGTGTGTGTGAGCAAAAGACTTATATCTATCTACTTTGATTATTTCACAGGCTCAAACGCAAGGCGTTCAAGTGACGCGCGCCGACTGCAAACAGTTGCCGCCGCACGGTAGAGCCATGTACGACTATATCTCCAAGGAACCGGGGTAAGGATATATGCATCATTGTGAACTATTAAAATTCAATACTAGTTTTAAATTGAAGTCCGTTCCTATGTCGTAATTGGGTCATCTGCTACTACTGTACAGTAAATATAAATACTTTTTCTTATGCTTCAGTAGTTATGAATTTATAATTTTGGAGATTGAATTATTATAATATAGAATTTGTTATAGTCAAATCATGTGTTGTGAAATGGTGTTATGTTTTATTTACTTTTCTTTCAGGGATCTGTCGTTCAAAAAGGGCGATACTATTATGTTACAAAAAAAGTTAGACCCGTTTTGGTATCAAGGGGAGTGTTCCGGAAGAACGGGCATGTTTCCTATCACCTATGTACAGGTTCGTGATCATTTTTTGTTAAATGTAAACCTATTATACAAATCCCGCCATACTTAGATGTGAATAAGGTTATAATATGGAAACGTGATAAGGCGTTTTTATATAAAATTTTGCAACGGGCAGTCGCTCGGATTACGAAAAGTTGTGGGTTCGAATCCCATCTCGGAGTACCTGAGATTGGAGAATTTATCGAAGATGTATAATTTGTTACAGATCGTGATACCTCTCCCTATACCGACGGCGTTATGCAAAGCATTGTACGACTTTCGCATGTCTGCGCCCGATGAAGAAGGATGTCTTGCTTTCGATAAAGGTAACCAATCTTTTTTATTCGGGTTTGCCTATATTTGTGTAGATTATTATTAATTTATTACAATATTATTATCTAATTATAACTAATTCTCGTTTTACACCATTTGGTTCAACTAAATTTTACAAATAAAAAAGTATACTATTATTATATTGTATACGCATTTACACTTAATTAATATAATAGCTTTTGGTCAGCGACTTCGTCCGTGTGGTTCTGTATGATACTCGTACATATAAACCTTTTTTTAGTCACTCTGTTATTGGTGAAAATAATTTTAAAATCCGATAAGTATTTTAACACTAAAAGCACCGAACATTAAGACCCCCTTGAACCCACTGTCATAACAATTTTGTCCCATTCCACTTATATATTTTCATGTATCATAATAAATTTTTTACACATTAATAAAAATATTTAACATGGTAATTAAACTAAGCCATGAAGAGAAACCAAGAAGGTTATTAAACCTAGGAATAAAATTATATAAAACATGCATTCAAACAAATCGGCAACAACTTAATTAACATATTATTAACAACAGCAATTTTAACATTTAAGTAATAATAGGTACAACACGCACTTGGCACAGTATTTAGTCACCAAGCACATCTAAGTAATAAACTTTTAATCAAAATCAAAATCAAAATCATTTATTCAGTCTAGGCTGTTACAAGCACTTGTGAAAGTCGAGAGCTACGCCAACGGTTCGTAAATCTACGGCGGGAGACCTTGTACCGAGAAGAACCGGCAAGAAACTCGGCAAGGGCTGCTTTTTTCTCCCTGTTTTATTTCATACAGAGCGTCAAGATTGAAAAATGACTTCATTAAAATTTGAAGTCACTTTCCATTACAATATTACACAATATTAAGAGTAAAACAGTATTTTCGTCAATCCAATCACATTTGTAGCCAAAGAAGCTCACCGATTAACAATTTAATATATATGAAAAATGAGCCATATTTAACTCCAAGTAGTTTTGTCGTTTAAATATTCATTAATAGTATAATATCCTTTACTGAGTAGACATTTCTTAATATGGGTTTTAAACTTAGGTAATGGTAAATTTAAAATTTCCATAGGAATTTTGTTATAGTAGTGTACACCTTGACCCATAAATGACGATAGAACCTTCTTTAGCCTGCATGACGGCAATAATTTCTTTAAGTTGTTAGGATGTATAAGCTCTATTAAATCCGGGGGTATTTCGTTAATTATTCGTGGTACGATGTAACTGGCCGTGCGCTCGCCATATATATTGTAAAGTTATTATTAAAAAAAAATCATGAAATATTCATAAAATATTTGATAATCAACTAAAAACCAATTTTTATTGCTTAATAATTTTAAAATTAAGAAAACTTTTTGAATATCGCTGTCGACAGACCGCGGCCGCCCAACACCACGAGCTCGTTTTCGTCTTTGCCCCATACCCCATTTGGCAAAAAGGGGACCCTATTACTAAGACTCCGTGGTCCGTCCGTTTGTCACCAGACTGTATCTCATGAGCCGTGATACCTAGTTAGTTGGATTTTCACAGATGATGTATTTCTATTGCCGCTATAACAACAAATACTAAAAACAATAAAATAAATAATTAAGGGGGTTCTCATACAACAAATGTGATGTTCTTGCTCGTTTCGTGCGCATGCGCAAATTCAACTCACATTTGACCGGTTTTTTCATTATGTTATTATCTCTAATATACATATTTCTATAAATAACATACTTTGACATAACCGTTTTGACATCATAATTGGTTTTGGCATACATTTTATAATTACCTTTTACAAAACTAAAAGCGAGTTTATTAAGCGAAGTTTTATGTTTCACATTATTATGCGAAGAGACAATATGCTTAAATAAAATGTATAAGCTGATATGCGTAAATATAATAACAGACAAACAAAGTAATGCTGTATTATGCTTAAAAACATTATATTATTATTATATATGAAATCATTACTGATTGTAGACGTAGTATCTACATAAATGACGTTTTATTAAATTTTATCTACAATCAGTAATAGCGACTTCGTTTATTTAGGAAAGTATATTTAGAGAAATTCCCTAAGGATGGAATCGAATCGAATCGAATCGAATAGACAGAATGGAACATAAATCACTGCCCAATGCGGACTGGCGTGTGTTAACGACTGCAGATGGGACTAACTCCCAAGGACCTTAAGATAATAAATGTTTGGTCACCTATCTTATGACTAGCCCTCGCGAAAATTGTATTTAAACATTGAAATTGTATTTTTGAAAATTGTTTTTAAATTTTAAAAATTGTTTTACGAAGAAAATATTCTTTTTCTCACTTCTCGCACTCTGGTTGTCGCTTGTGTCGGAATATTTTCTTCGTACAACGTGCATATTAGTTATATTTACATATACGCTGTTGCAGCTGTCTTTGTTAAATTTTACTTGGATCTTTTTAAATTGTTATTTGGTTATATATATTTTGTATGCACAATGTGCCATATATTGTTATGTTTTTCCATTCAAGGCTAGGTTTCTTGCAATAAATAGCTGGTGATAAGACCGTCTATTGTACATAGTCGTCTAAAATATGTATGTATGTCCATGACATTTTCTTGTTGGCAATAAAGAGTATTTACCTTACGCGCTTACCCAGTACGCCATCGTTTTTCATCATCGAATAGTCTCTGAAAATACTGGCCCGATTTTAAATATTTTTTAATCTGTAGGAAAGTACATCATACGGGGGTGAAATTGGCTATAATTTACGAGGGCAAAGTCGCGTGAAAACAGGAAATTAATTGTATAGTGCCCAATCTATCTGCAGTACAATTGCGTTATAGGTATGCGGGAGGAGGTAACAACGGTTGGCGATTTTTTTAAACTTCTTTTTAACGCACTCAATATTGCTAACTGTGAGCTCTTTATGAGCTCAAGCGCATTTCTCTATCAGATGGAGTATCAGACGCACGCGATAACGCATGTGTTATGAGCGATAGCGACAGACGTGGTTGGTGATCACACGCTTGCTGAATAAATTTTCTGAAAGCTCAAGCGATTTTTCCTGACATGAAAACCTTAGCTTCATATGATAGTTCATAAGCCTCGCGATCGGGTATTAAACACGTTCACATTGTTCAGGTGATTCCTGTGACCGAGTGCTTTCTGTGCGAACTCTAAAAGCTCAAGCGAATTTCTTTGTCAATAAAAGTCTTAGGGTCGGTATATGTCTGACGGAAGATATTATTATTGATCGTGGAACGTCAGAGAACTAACAAATGATATGAAATTAAACGTCAGATTTGCGCCGACCCTCCGACACATGTGAATTGCATGAGCTTCATTACCGGTGGATAAACCTGTGATACATCTTAAAACAACCAACTTTAAATAAAGTGAGTGTTCGTGTATCAATGTCCATTGTATGATGAACCCTTTTTAATATATAATTGGTAATATATCTGAGGTTAACTTACAATTGAGATATCAAAACTTGAAACTGTTATAGTTTGTATTTTTTATCATACAAAAATTAAGAAAACACTAATTTCAAAGCAATTTTGGTGAACAAAATACTTCAAATTGATATGACTTTTTTCGTTTAAAAACGATTAAAATAAAACATTTACTAAATATTAACCGAAGATTACCAAAATACGATAATTGACTGCATTAATATCTGTTCAACCGTTTCTGAGATTATTGTACGCAAACGCAAAGGCGAGCAGTCATAATTTTTAATAATCATTGTTTTTCATTGTTTAGAAATTCATAATAGTTTTTTTTTTATATATCTTCTTTGTAGAGACAGCAATCCGTTACGTTTTATTTATAGTATAGATGGACTGTTCTATAGTGTCCCGTGTACTTTCGTAGCTTTAAATTTCCATTACACAAGTTACATTAGTTACGATGTATGGCATGTTATTTAAAATGTTTTATTTGTGTAGGTGCCATAATAACGGTGCATAGACGTGTGGACGAGAATTGGGCTGAGGGGAGACTGGAACAGCGTGTTGGTATCTTCCCCATTGCCTTCGTGGAGCTGAACCAGGCGGCGAGACAGCTTATGAACAGGTAAACGTTTAGTATATACGAATATTTACTATAATCGATAAAAAACTAAATATGTTTATTTCTTAACGGCTTTTATTAAAATCTTGTGCTGTATTCATAATGAAAAATGTTTAAAATATCTACTTTGTCCCTGGCACTCTGAGATGAGATACGAACTCATGGCCTTTCGTAAGTTAGGCGGCTGCTTTAACCTCTGAGCCAATTTTTCAAGCACTTGTTACTGTTTTCGCTACTACAGAGCGTATTTTCGTCAATTTACAAATATTTTTACAAAAATGTAAACTTCCTATAAAGTTGTTTTTTTCTTCTAATTATTAAATTTAATCAATCGGATTAGATTGAATGCGAAATTGATCAAATATAAAAGTAATATAATTTTAAACGGATCTTCTGCTAACTCCGTAGTAATTAGAATAATATTTTGATGTTTCACGAATTACTTATTAGTATTTTTAATAACCATCGAGGTTAGAATGCACTAATACATTCATAAAAGTACTAAACTATATGCAATTCTATGCGACTCCTTTGGTAACAAACTCAATATGTTCATCCATCCATCACCCGCTCTTGTTGCATCTTGTAATAGTTAACAGCCACCAATGTGAACTGGGCTGGTAAGATAGTGTTTGTTTACACTATGTGCTTCGCAGGGAAAACTTGGTGCCTGAATTTCATTTTAATAATTCAGATACTCCTCAGCTATACTAACTTAATTGTGTTGCGATACTAACTTAAGCTAATTACAGAGTTGTACAACTTATAAAGCTAACTTTTTTGCTTAAGTAATTACCTTATTGAGTACTTCAACATCTTTGAGGTAATTTTTTTCCTGCGTTGTGTGTTGTGTTGTGCTATAAAGTATATTATTATTAATATCGAGCCCATGGTAATACAGTGGTGGCCATATAGTAAAGAACGATTATTAGTCATAGAATGTTTTAAATTAAAACTAGCACTATTTTTTAAAATATCACTTTTATGAGGAAATAGTATAACCAGTGTTCTTTGTTTGAATTTGAATAAAAAAATAAATAGTTGACGTTCTTAATTATGTAACCAGCCAGTAAGAAGTAATTTTTGGATTAGATTTAACGTTTGCGAAGTTTATATATTTTTTTTTATTCGCGGTTTATTAATATATATTGTTTATTGTAGCATACCGTTGAATCGTCCCGTACCGCCGATACCAGATCACGCGAGACCAGGACATTCAGATCATAGACATCATCCGCAGGTAACCATGCCATTCAAATTATCGTATTTCACAAAAATATTATAATTAAATTTTGTGCATTCATAAAGATTTTGAGTTAAGAATATAAAATAACGTCTAAATAAAAATGTAAATTAGTTTAATAATGCAAATTAATAACTACTAGTTTTTGTTAGTGCACGATTTTTTTCCATGGTTTAGCATTTAGTTTAAACGTATTTACAAAATTCATGAGTAGTGTGAAGAAAGAAATAAACGTGACTATGATTTGCACTAACTAAAATAATTATATTGTGCACTGATTAGAGTTTTTCCAGTATTCATAAAAATGTTATGAATTTATTATAACACTAGTTCTCCTTCGACTTTGCCTGTGTAAAATATATCTAGCCTATAGCACCCTCGTATGATATAAGTACCCTAAGGTTAAAGTATTTTCATGATCAGTTGGGTATTTCCAACTTAATTCCCTACAAAAAAAAAAAAATAGAATTTTCAAGTCTTTATAAAACGAGTTCTAAAATATTAAAAAAATGTCAAATCATGATGACTGGTATACAAAAGAAACTCATTCTATTACAGGCGGCGCATCGGTTCCAACACACAAACATGTCCATGTCCACTCCTAATACAGGCCATAACAATTACCATACAACCACTGCCATGTCACAATCCCAACCCACCTGTGTGCCAGTATCCCGGGCGATACTTGAACCTCACACCAAACTAGATCTAATACACTTAACCGCTGTACACAAAGGACACGCCCATGTAGGCTTACAGAGTGTTCGTATAGCGGACAACTTCGAACGGAGAGCGGTCAAATACGACTACAATCCTAAAGTGGAAACCACCTATCAGAATATTCGTTCACACGAACATTTCCCCGTGTCTGTAGCCAATTTCAACTCGACTGTCAGTTCGGATTCAAGTTCCAGTATGAATACACCGGTCGGTGTTAGTTCAACTACTACGCCGAACACTAGTTCGAATACTAGTACGTGCGAGAGCGCAGAACCGAGCTTACCGAGCTCGCCTGATAACAATACCGACCGAAATTCGACCGTAGTTCAACAGAATACGAATCAAAACGGCGAGGAGGAAAATAATGAGAGGGAATCGTCTCTCAACACTTCTATGGGAGTGTTGAGTTTGAACGAGAGTTCGACCGCTACTAATACTTCGTTGAACGTCAGTTTGCCACCGGCAGAGAGTCCTAAATTGAATGCGTCGAATGCTTCAGTTTTGTCGCAGAACCAAACTGAAAATACGGAGGGCGCAAGCAATAATGATACTAGATTGGATGTTCCATCTTCGTCCAAGAATATAGTTAGATCTAGCGGACCTGATTCTCTATTGAACTTCGGTATAGGCTTGCAGGCGGCTTTGTCCCCTTCACATAGTAAAGATGCGAACTATATGGCGTCTAGAAACCATAGAGAACATCACAATAGAGAGAAGAGGCATAGTCTGACGCCATCGTCGCATTTGCAAAGTGGACATTCTACTCAAAACAGGTATGATTATTATTTATTTATTTAATAGGGCTTTCAAAATAATATAAATTGACGATAAGAATGACAAATACATAATATTAGGTTTGTATCGATTCTAAAGTGACTGCACTTTACCTGTCTATGTTGCACTTCATTTTTATTAATATTTTTCTATTTGAAAGAGGTATTTGCAGATCACTGATATCAGAACTATATGTATGTAATTATTTAATCTACAGGCACTCTGCGGAAATATTAGCCACTAGTCTGCTAGACCACGTGCCAGAAAGAGAGCGTGACAGACCGGACCGCGAGAGAGAGCGAGAGAGACGACGGCGACGTTCTAGAAGCAACGAGCGCCCTCTACCGGCTGCGTATGTCGCCTTGTATCCGTATAAACCGCAGAAACCTGACGAATTGGAGTTAAAAAAGGGAGGTATGTTTAATGTGCTTACTTATTTATCTTCTTCCTACATATTTCAGAAGACATGCTAAGCCGTTGGTCCGATTGCATCTGCAATCGTCAAATGTAGTGAATATTATGTTTGATTATTTGGCACTTACTATTATTTGTCTTATTATATTTGAAAATATTGGTAAATTTATTAGTATCAGGTGCCTGAGATGGGATTTGAACCCATAAACTTTCGCAATCCGGGCGACTGTTGTAAACATGAACCAGTAGCAATTCTTCCACATTCACAAATGTTTGTAACAGCCTAGACTGAATAAATTATATTGGATTTGAATGTATATGTGTAGCTCGATGGCGTAGTGGATAAGCGCCGTGGCCCGCGATCGTTCTTGTTAACCAAATACCGCAAGGGTCGTAAAAACAAATCTCGAGCTACTCCATGCTTTGGAAGGCACGTTAAGCCGTAGTTCCCGGCTGCATTTGCAGTAATACCCTCCAATCCGCATTGTGCTGCTGAGTCATGGACCATCCTCCTTACTCAGCCATAAGGAAGGCCTGAACCCATGCAGTGGGTACGTAATAAGGCTGATGATGATGTATATTGTTTCAGTCGTGTATACTGTGACGGAGAGATGTCGGGATGGTTGGTACAAAGGTTGCGGTGACCGCGATACAAGATGTGGGGTGTTCCCTGGGAATTATGTAGCGCCCGCTCCCGCTTCAGCGCGTCTCAAACATGACAAGGTAAATTGAACCCTATTTGTTTACATATAGATGTCATGACCCTTATATTTTAACTGTTAATAGCCTAGCGTCAAGTAGTTTGGCTAAATTATTGATAACTAATTATTAGTTCTTTTTACTTACGTATATGATGATGAATAGCTTCTTTGTTGTTATTGGTTATAAACAAATCTATTATACTTTCAATCTCCTCTAAATTATCAAAAGATGGTACGGATCATTATAGAAGTCCATATAGGAAATATCTTTTAATTTATCCAATGCATATCCCTTGTTTCTCTACAACAACGTATATCAACCATTTAAGGTTCAAACTTTATGGAAATCGAGTATTGAATCTAATATTCACATGGAGCCCTTAATGAAAACAGGGTAGAATTATCGGTACTGTTTATCTATATATAAATAAATTGATCACCGAAATGTATGTACGCGCATTAGTTCCGAACGTCTGAACCAATGTATATGTGTTCCTTATTCATAGGGTTTATTTATAGGAATTATTCATAGGAAGGTTTCATTAAGGAAATTTATAAAAAAAAAAAACTTTACTTGTGGCTGGAGAAATAATACATGGCAGTACGAAGTTAATGGTAAAAAATAGTTAATATTAGTTACATATTTTACTTGAGCTCCTATCATTTGCCGCAATATGTTATATTGTTCTACAGGCACCTTGTTCTCCTGCACCGGTGGCTGCTAAATCTACGTCAGTGCAAAACTCCGCTCCAGATGCGCCGCCTAGAGAGAATAGTCCGCTCACAGCTAACGGTAAGTCATTTTTTAACCGACTTCAAAAAAGGAGGTTCTCAGTTTGACTTGTGTGTATGTATGTGCGCTCTCGCGTTTGACTGAACCGATTTTGATGCTGTTTTCAGACTTAGGAGAAGATTTTAAGTATATTATACGACTTTAAAAATGAAGGGTCGCACTTTAACACAGTTATGACGCGGTTCATATCATGACACGGATTTAATTACAATGACAAATTGAATTATAAACAATGGTTGCTATGGTAACGTTTTAATTACCTATTCCTTCCTTTGCTGTTTTTCCGTTATAAAATATAGCCTATGTTCACTGCATATTATGTAGAAAACCCGTAGGTAATAGTAGTTTATGCAACTGTCATATAAGAAGGATATTAAAACACGAGAGTCTGTTTATCCCATGAGGCGAAGCCGAATTTTATGATACAGAGTTTTATGTTACAGTTGGCGGTACTATAATGAGTTTTATTTTTAATTTTATGTATATGCATTTATAAAGTGCATACATACGCACTTTACAAAGAATCTTTTTTTTTTTTTTTTTTTTTTTTTTTTTTTTAACTCACACGATTTGTATATTTGTATACATTATAATTATATGCAATCGGGTCTTGTTCGTGCATTTTTTAAAACAATTAATTTACCTCGACGTTTCGGCTACGTTACAGCAGCCGTGGTCACGAGGAGACTGGAGAACTGGCGGGTGTCGTCTTCTGATTTTAGTTGAGGGTAATCCGGTAATAATGTTTTTAACTGATTTTCAGATGTACCCTCCACTTGATTTTATTATACGTAAAGGTGGCGACACACTGCACTTACGGTATCCGAGAATATTGTTCGTGGTTGTTTGCGATCGCGACACTTATACATTTTTATAACCGGATTCCACGTTGGTGAGAGTTTATATCCACTTTCCCGGTTGAAATTGTTGTGTTTTTTGATTTCAACCGCTTCACGAACAATCCTTGGGTAGTAATGTCGTTCAGTGGAAATCAAGTTGATTGCAGAGCACTTATTATCATCTGGATCAAACCACTGGATCGAGTTACATACACCTCATGTCCTTTCCACTGAACGACATTACTACCCAAGGATTGTTCGTGAAGCGGTTGAAATCAAAAAACACAACAATTTCAACCGGGAAAGTGGATATAAACTCTCACCAACGTGGAATCCGGTTATAAAAATGTATAAGTGTCGCGATCGCAAACAACCACGAACAATATTCTCGGATACCGTAAGTGCAGTGTGTCGCCACCTTTACGTATAATAAAATCAAGTGGAGGGTACATCTGAAAATCAGTTAAAAACATTATTACCGGATTACCCTCAACTAAAATCAGAAGACGACACCCGCCAGTTCTCCAGTCTCCTCGTGACCACGGCTGCTGTAACGTAGCCGAAACGTCGAGGTAAATTAATTGTTTTAAAAAATGCACGAACAAGACCCGATTGCATATAATTATAAAGAATCGTCTTTGAATTCGTAATTCGAATTGTTCTATTTGAGTGTAGATAAAAGATTTTTTTAAATCGGTCCAGTAGCTTCGAAGCTTGATGCAATCAAACAAACAATCAATCAAATCTTTCTTCTTCATAATATTAGTATAAGTAATTAGTGCTGCTATGCTGGGTATTCAAAAATTAAATAAGCTTAAATAAATTCATCAGTCCCAGGTATCGCGAGATGGGTCTCGGGTAGCGGATAGCGAAAGGTCGTGGTTTCGTGTCCCATCTCGGCGTTCTTGCGGTTGCTGGAACTTAAAGTATTTTTCGTTAAGAGTACATATTTATATGTTAGAGTTAGCACGTTCAGTCTTCGAAGCGGGTGGTCAAGCAACTTCGCAACAACCAGTCATATTGGGTAGGTAGTATTATTGTTAGTTAAATATAATTAACAATGTATATAAACCCTTGTAAACGGAAATTGATTGGAACGTGATAGAACTAGGGTGAGCTACTATTCTATTTCTTTTTCTAATTGAGCCTGTGTGTTACAGCGCAACCATTAACTTACCCTTGGAGTACGATTTCTCAAGCGCAGCCACAACAGAGCACGCCAAGATTAGATAAGGTGATATTTCAATTTATTGCTTACAAAAAATAAACCCGCTGGTTCATTTTCATTAGTCGGTTATTGATTTATGGACAAATACGCATCCCATTAGCCAATAAGCAAATGGAACCGGAAAATCTCCGTATATATGGTATATCGATCAAATAAAATTGGCCTCAAATATATGTGAATAAGTTGAGATATTTTAGATGTTTTTAAATAAATGTTGTCAATTAACAGAAAGATAAGTCGAAAGTGGAGAAATCGACAATCTCGAGCGGCGTTAGTTTGATGAAGCGATTGGCTGCAATGAAAAAGTGCAAGTCCCCCCCTCCGTCGTACAGTATGGATAATCCTGTGTTCGAAGACACGCCCGGGACTTCTCTTGCGCTCCACGGTACTCAACATCATCCGGTACACGTCAGGTCAGTGAACTTCGTGTATATGTGACGTCACAATTTAAAATTTAAATTTTGATTTAATTTGTAATATACAGGGTTAGATGTAAAATTGTGATAGACCCGAATTTCATTGTAATTGTTATTTTGTTTCATTTCCTAATTTTTTCTTACGTAATATGTTATGTTTTTTTTTTCTTTCGTTCTTTCTAAATACCAGTAGGAGAACAGGACTACACCGCTAACATCAGTCTTGTAATTTATTAATGTATCATAGAATTATAAATAACACGACGATGATACAATAAAAACATATAAATCTTTTTTTTTTTGTTGAAATATTGAATTATGATCAAATTCGTAGATAAGATGTTGTTTATGATCCTTATAACAGAAGGCTGTTGTTTTACAAATAACCCTGTAGTTACAGTTTAATTTGTTATAATCCAATATTAATTAATTGTAATGGAATAAATTATTGATTAGTTATAAATTTTATTTACCCAAGTAAACTATTTATGTCTGGGCAGAACTCAATCTTTGTATTATTTGCATATCCGAAATTTAGACTTTAAAGCAATAGAACAAAACCTATTTTTGTTACCAAATTAATATAATTAACACCATGTCATTATAAAAAAGTTATCCATAGTGTTCACCCATTAATCAATCATCTGTTTTGTGCTTCGCACACGCATGTGTATGTTAGTTAATAATATACGTTTGTTATATATTTCAGGTTACATAGACTAAGGAATATTAGTTATTTCTTTAATTTTAATCAAGCATTGAATTTTTTAACTGTCAAAAGATGATGCTAGTGCTTTCATTATAGAAATATTATTTTTTCTATATTTCTTGACGGTTATTATTATACGTAATATTATTTAACATACTTCACTGTTAATAGAGTTTGGTCTTCACAATAATTCAATCCTTTTAGTTTTTTTTTTATCTTCAAAGGCATTAAGGAATGTATAATGTGTAATATAGAAGAATAAATTAAATATTATATTTTAAGCTCAAAACATATAATTTATTAGTAACTAGCTTTCCGCCAGCGGCTTTGCCCACATGGTCCTATATTATACATATAAGTCTTCCTCTTGAATCACTCTGATGAAAACAGCAGTAAAATCCCTTCTGTAGTTTAAATAAATCTCATCGTACAGACAGTAGGAAGCGACTTTGTTTTATACTATGTGTATATACAAGAATAAAGTATAATATTATATTTTAAGTTCAAAATATATAATTATTAATTAGGACATTTACATTGATAAGAAAATTATCATATTAGAATACTAGCATCAACATTTAAGAGCACAAGTTTTGTCTTAAATAAATTATTTTTATTTAAATAAATTTCTATGTAACTAGTTTATATTGAAGCGTAATAAACATTTCTTAGTTTGATGTGTACCTGTATGTGTGTATGCGTTGGGCTAACGGGGCACTCACCAACACTTTGTCTGCGTTTGTGTTGCCTGCACTTTGTGTACTAATATCGTCCGGTCAAGTTGAATGATTTCCACATTTAAGCATTTATGGCGATTAGATAGCCTAGATAGATTCATGTTATTAGTGATTAGATAGCTTAAAAGGTTACTATTAAAAATAAAAATACGTTGAAATCGATTGTTTGGCACTAGACTAGACAATAATTAAATTAATGATTTGGTTTCCACAAAATGTCTGTGCATAATAACGATTTCAGGCTCGTGGTCAATTAGGAGTTAATAGAAACTGTTCGGATTTTATATTCATAATTGAGACAGGACAACCCCTGTCAGGTCAGTCAGTAATAGTATAAATACTCTTTGGTCGTGATTGTTTCGAGTGTAATGGTAGTATGTGACTAATGTACGTCCGCTTGACCGGTCGATGTGACTAATGCGTGGGCACAGGTCTGGTTCGTGTCCGTCACAGCTGCTGCGCTTGCCGGGCAGCGAACGTGCCAGACACAAGGAGCGTCCCTCCGCGCTCGCCCTCCACGAACACAGGAGGTACGGACACACCCACTAGCGGATCATTATCTAGGCAAACTAGGCACGTGCCTAACCCCGCCAAGGCATTGGCTTGACAGTTACAAGAAAACAAATACTAGTGTACTGATGAGAACCGCATTTAAATTGTACAGACAGCGCGTACCGACTTTTAATACTATTAAGAACAGTATTTTTGTTTCATAATAAATTGTTGACATATTTTTGCATAATTAACTTGAGATTTAAAATCTGTGAACCGAAACGCGGGCGGCCATGTCGAAGTATCGTGTGTCGTCACATTGCTTAAAATAAACGTCAACTTATTTGTTGCGGGCGCAACAGGTACTCATTTGTAAAAATGAATAATGTATGAAAATTATTGTTTTCAAACGAGTAAGCACTACCTTTCACAGAAAAATAAACTTTATAGTGGTTTACTATGATCATACGAGTCTTAAAATAATTTTCCCAAAAAAGTCAAGTAGCCAATTTAAGCAAAAAATACTATGACTTACATTGCCCTATTCCACGCAAAAACACTAAGTAGGCACCATAGGATTGTCAACTGTATTAAAGTGTTCTGGGATGTCTATATAGTTTTTAAGCAACGTCTTTGTTTTTCAAAGCACCCTGATATTTACGCGTTGCTTTTGCAATTCTTACGTCTGCATTGCGACGGGGGCTGTATTTTGAAAGCAGATAAATGTTTTTCATCTTAATTACTTAATAGTAGTTATTCAATTAATTTAATTAAAGAATTGTAAATTGCAATTAGATTTTATTTCACTATCATAATACTTTATTCCGGGACGAATAGACTTTTCTTATTTAGATTCCTAATTTAGAAATGAGATAATTGACAACCCTAAACTAATACATTATTAGGTCCTTCTCACATTACGATACCTACAGACGTCTAGTATCCTAACATTTATTTATATTGCGAATTGCACATATCGCTGTGACAATCCTTCACGTCTGAACGGCAGTTTTGTATAAAGTCCGAACGTCCTAACAATGTGAAATTCATACGAGTATTTTTCAGTAGCGTAATATGTCTCTTTAAAGGAACAAGTATTTATCTATCGCAGTGGTTTCTTACGTGCGTGTATACAGATATCTTTCAAGAGGTTTGGCAATACCCCAGTTAGATGGTGTATAAAATTAGTAATAGGGGTAACAATCATTACATGTTAAGAAATCACTGATCTATTGCATGTGTCGTAATGTAAGTAGGGGCTTATTGTTATGTTATAATAGTAAATATAGTAGGCTATTGTATATTGTATATTAGATACAAACCATTGTATATTAGATTACATTCGTTATTATTCGTTTATACCCTAATAAACGAATAATAACGAATGTAATCTAATATACAATGGTAATAACTACAAAAGGCAACGAGGCACATGACTAGAGGGCCATCAACTTTTGATCCGCTATTGGACACAACGACTTTTACATTAGTTGACAGGGTGATTTATGCGGGCTCGTTTCATCAGCCTATAACTCAACGATTGGCCGACCAATAAAGAAGAGCCATAGAAGTCTTGCTTCCCCCATACTGGTCATATAATGTGAATGTGTCATAAGGGTTTAATTTAAGAGGGCGCATAAAGCTATTTATTTACATATCATTTTATGTTGTTGTCGTTGTTGTCAGCATGAACTGTTAATAAAAAATAAGAAAACTACTTCAGATTCATAATTGACGACGCTGGATTTAAATAAGGAATTGCATTTTTATCGAGCTATTTTACAGTAATCAATCGTAATGTTTTTGAACGATTTTTATATTAAGAATACAGCGTCGTCTGTTTTTGTCTATCTCATTCTCATTGACACCCTTCATATACACAATTTTCAGCTGTTTGCGCGCTCTTAATTGAATTATTGACTACAGTACACCTTTCACCTTTGTGACGTCATAACAGTTAGTCACCGGGTAACAAGGACTGCGGCGCGGCTCTAGTCATCTAGTGACGTCACAAATAACCGATCAGTAGATTTAACAAATAGTTGGTCATCATTTTGTTTATATCACTTGTTTGCGGAAATAATGACATAATTAGAAATTATGGATTTTCCCTTTCTAATGCATTTTTATTCGAAATCAGTGTCGAAGCTTTTTGCACATCAAAATTCGAGTGATTTAAATTAAGTCAGTTTTGCGTGCTTCGTAGTAATTAAAACATTTATTTAAATATAAACATATAAACGATGTCCAGTATAATGAAACGAAATCAGCATATACATATACAATAATTTACATAGATACAGATGTTTAAAGTCTAGATTAGACAGAGATAGATATGTATTAAACTGTGACGTCAGTCTTGCTAATCGTAAGCGCCGCTCGGAAGTGACAAGATCAGAAAGTGTTCTCACTACAGACCGCTGCATTTTTATAAGCTAAATAAACCTTATAACCTAAACTGACGTATATATCCCATATTGTGTCATTATTCTTGCAAACGAGCTAGGTATACCTTCTACGATATTACTGGTAAGTAACATCTGTTATCGGGTTCGTAAAATATAAGTACACTTGTTGTGTTACGCTCGGCCAAGAAAGTGGTTTTTGTTTGGATAATTCGTCTAAATATAATAATCGCTAAGGTTGACTTTTCTAACGGAATTTGGGTGCTTAAATAAGTAGAATCTCTGACGTTTGAAGCATTGTCACTTCCATAATACGTATATTATTGGAAGGTATCATCCTTGTTATTCCATAACGTTCAAATGTTTACCATATTTTTGGCCGAGTATACATGTAATTTCTAACATCTTATGACCTAGTTTTTTAAATAGATTCATGTCGTCACATGTAAATTTTTCTAAAATAGTGTTTTAAATTTAGTTCAATGATCATTAAGTTCAAAGTCGTCGGCTAATTTTCGACGTGTGTTGTATCCTGATGAGCAGCTTGTCTGTTAAGTTTTAATAGATGATTAATAAATTTTATGTCTGTGGTTTGTTCGCTTTGCTAGTTTGCGATGCATCGGTTTTTCACTCGTGACATTTTTTTGTTTCATTTTTAATTTGGATTTATCACTGCACTTAACACATCTTAATCTCACCATTTCTCTATTTGATCATTTGAGTTTTGTTGAAGTATTACAATTGTATTTTTAAACATGTTTATAGCACTGCAAGCGAAGGCCCGTGGCAGTCACATCGCAAATCGCAGTCACTGGACGTGACTGCCGCTAGGAGAGAGAGACCACATTCACAGACTGTCAAGGAAAGGTAAATGGTTGAGCAAAATGTATTTGCCGCCCCGGTTGAAAATTATATTAGATCCGCGGCTGAAAATCGCGGACAGCATTTACAAATGTTTAAATTTTGTGTTAGAAACGTGTTTATTTCTTCGAAGCATTTTTTTAATATAAGTACATACTTAAAAAAAAAAGCAGTGGAATACCCTATTGTTCGCCCTACTCAAGTTAGATAGGGCCCAGATTGTAGCTACCTCGTTAGCTCGTTCAACAACCACAATCTTACCAATCGAACGTCGAGTGCATTTGATTCAATCCAGTGCGATTCAAATGAAATCAATCCTAACGCGAAGGAATTGCAGATAAATAATGAACTTATTTTTTTATAGGTTCCGCTGCATAGTCCCTTACCCTCCGAACTCTGAGTACGAGCTGGAGTTAAAAGTGGATGACATCGTAGTTGTATCACGGAAGAGAGGCGACGGTTGGTACAAGGGCACTTTGCAACGTACCGGACGAACTGGACTATTCCCAGCATCGTTTGTGCAAAGTTACCCCCATGACTGACCCCGGCCTGGTTCCAACAGGTTTGCTACTCTATTTTAGTGACAAACTATTGAACTCTTAATACTAATAAGTATCTATTAAATACGCAGTAAATATTACGTTTCATTTGTAACATGAATAAGCAGTTTCCAAATTTCGCCTAAAAATCTCTCGTGTGCAGCCCTTTTATTAATATAACAAAAATGAATGAATAAAATAATGTTTATATACGTATTAGAGATTTTTTTCACTCAGAATAGTTCACTTATAGTTACATAAACTTATACATAGTTTTTCCAATACTGCCAAAATGTCAACGTAGTTCAAATAAATGGATACAGATTACTTAATACTTATACTTTTTTTTTATATTGAAGATGGTTGAAGAGTGGTTACTACCTACTTTAAAAATAATGTTAAATTTTAAAAAAGTTTCCTTTACATCTTATATTATTTTATTTCATTAACAAATTTCATATTATAATTTTTTTGTTTCATAAATATGTAGGCATATAAAGTAAAAAACTACATAGCGCGTCATGAATCTGCCTTTTTTTCTCTAGATGATGACATATTTATTGAGATTAAAATTGTGTGAAATCACATTGGGCGGGGTCAAATGCACGGGTTCCCCGATGGTGACCTATTCGAATCATTCTGATTGGCCGTCACTTGCCGCGCTTCGAAAGATGAAACGAAAGATTTTGAAAAATTACACTATTGATGTCGTTAATTTCAATTTTGAAAATAAACCCATTTATTTTCTATCGGTTCAGGACATGACGAATTTGCGGTCGCAATAGTTTTATGTAAAAGCAAACGTTGATCGAAGGAAAACAACGAATAAAAATGTAATTCAATATTGCATTGATACAAATGGACTACTGTGCGGCAATCGAGCCTTCGCAGCCTTGGCGTTTAACTATTAACAAAGTAGCGATAAGCTACTGAAAGCGGTTATAAACATCAAATGTGATATCATAATTAGATGTTGGTGTCATTTCTGTTGTACCAAACTTAAGATAATAAATAAACACCAGTAAAAATCTTTAATTTTTATTATGATTTTGTAACTTATGATTTTTAACTCGTTAATCCTAGTTTACAGATTTTAGCTGATGAAAAATAATTTTGAAACGCCTTCATGTTACTACAATCAGAACAATATAAATTTACTCATGTATATAATAATATGATAAGCTTAATCCTTTTATATTGCTTGTTTACAAAATTAAATACAATTTGACAAATTAAAATTAAGTTTTGTCTAGGTCCAATCCAGTTTGCCAACAGAATTGACACCAATAGCTACTTCTCAGATAGGCGACGAGAATAATTTGCACATCACTTGTTAATTCTGTTTAAAAAATATTCTCTTATCTTAAAATATAACAATTTCGAGGTTTAAACGTAAAATATCAATAATTATAATAATACCAGTATTTTCAATCGTCCAAATTACTGTAAACAATGAAATAATGTTTATAAAATAACAAATATTGTTGTGTGTCATATTAATGTTAATTAGACAGTAAGTAATATTGTGGATAAAGCAGGGAGTTTGAATATATAGGTGGCACATTGGTTAAATAATAATGGTTGTTAGAAAAATAAGTAAAAAAGTAATAATAATAGGGTAATGTCAACATTAGACATAATGTCTATGCAACTCAATGTTATAATGATAAAGACGTTTACACCCAAAATTTATAAAAAATAGACGGCTGTTTGTATCGCATTTTTATAATTTAAGATATACTTCAAAAAATACCCTGAAATTAGGGAAATTGAAAAATTGCTGATAATTTAATTTTTCTAAAAAAGCCTATTTCGGACTTTGTGACTTGGATGTTTTATACGTCTATTATTTAACTTACATATTAATAAAATAAATAATAGAAAAAAATAAATAACATAAATAAGCATTTAGCATAAGTCTCGAAAGTTAACATAATAGAATACTGTCTGTCATAGCCATAGGTGTACCAGAATCTGTTGATAACTGTCAAGTCAAAGTGTAGGTTGTTGTGAATATTTGTGAAAATATATATATTTTTTAATATTAACCATTGATATCGCAGGTGATAAATATTGTTTTTAATGTTTATAGCTAAATTCGTGAAAAGAAGCTGAAGATCAACATCTATTTTATTTTAAAGTCTGTTTACGAATTGACCGGTAACTAGCAATGACTAGTTTTGATACTTTATTTTTCTAAAGAATTCATTAGTAAATATTCGTAGGCGTGTCGACTACTATAAATTACGCGTATTAAAACGAATTATTAGTGAAGGAGAAGATAAAATAACATTTAAAAGAAGAAAATAAATTAAACCTGTTTGGATTTTGGAAGTGTAAGCGTCACAGAATGTTAGTAGAGATTAACAGTAAAAAATACATAAAGTAAAGCTTCTTTTATTCATTTGTGTTATATTCCGAGTCAGGTTAAATATTGCTGAGATTTTTCTGGGCCTGATGCTGTCTTGTCAAAATATTAGATGTTGGTAATATAGAGTGTGCAGGTGTATGTTTGTACAGTATATAATTTATGCGACGCAGATGGTTAATCTATGTCAGAATATGCCGAGATAGGAATATGGTCAAGAGTACGATCAGCACTGATCGTACTCTTGAGCATATTAGCATGTTTGATGTATTAAAAAAATTACAAGTAATTAGACATCTTTATCCATTTTCCCAATGTTACCTTCTACAAATTAAAAATTCCCGATTTGTCATTACATTCTGGTACACCTATACCCTATTTCAATATCTTATTTTAATACCTAATGTGAACATTTGAAATTGAAGTTAAAAGTAGAATATCGTACTTTTCTAGTGAGTAAACAACTGTAACTTAAGAACAATTTCGAAGTAGATGTGTTTATTTGAAATATTTCGACATAACAAACAAATTGAAGTCATGTTTTGAGAGTTGTATATTATGTATGTAGATAATTATTTTCCTAAAAAGAAAACGACTTCTCACTCCATGTTTGTCCAACTATGAGGGCCAATGGAAATTATATTTAAATTATTTTTATATATAAAAAGTGAACTGGATAGTGTATGTCGACGTAGTGGTTTTCTTATTATTTAACAAATAATATTGCTAGTTCTCAACAACCAATTTTTCTTCTTGGCAACACAAAGATGTGAAAGTTATCGCTACTTATTTCGACGCATATTTTATTGGTTGTTGGGTACAATATTAATACTATTAAATCTATTAGCAACATTTGGATTTGTATATAATTATATGATTAACTTTGTTGCTTTTCGTATGAAAAGCTGATATTTATATAATGTATATTAGTATTTTAAAATTAATATTCAGTAAATTTTAACAATATAATAACTGATTTGTTCGTATGAAGTCTCATGAAGCTTTGAACGATTTATTTCTTATGGCCGACTTTGAAAAAAGTCATTTTTAATAACATTCTATATTCGAACATTTATTACCTTATTTTGTTTAAGGTATGATACGCTTATTATGTTTAATTACTTTAAGTCACTGCCATAAAGAACAAATTTGATTTCGACAATGATTTCTCTAAAAAATAAGTGTGTTTAATATTTTAATAGGTAGTTAGTAATATTACTCAACTATTATAGGTAGAAATAAATATTAAATATAGGCTTTATTTATATTGAAGTACGGTTTATTATTAAACAAAATTTTTAAATGTATTCAAATAATGAAATTTTTGCATTTTTTCAGATAGTGTGAAATATTAAACTTTAAATGAAAATTGAGACTGTATGATAATGTAACCTTAGTTTTAGTGCGTTTATTTTTAAAATATGTTATCGAGACGTATAACACTTATACTTTGATTACTTATTGTATAATTTAATGTATGTTTCACGCCCAGCGAAAGGTTATTCGGTGAAGTTGCGTTTGATTATTTTAACTAATATACATTTAAATATTATATTATTTTAAATGTAAAAGTTTTTTTTCAAGTATACGCTGTTATTATTATTCGCAGACAATAAGCGTAAAAACAAAGGCGTTTCACAAAATGTTTTTTGTATTCAATGCTCAACTACGTGCTTTGCTTTTTTCTAAGCAGTTTTTATTATAATAGCGTTTTATTATGATTGTGTATATTTTAGTATGTTGCATGCTTCCACTGAATCCTTGTATAGGTAATTCTTAAAAGAAGACAAACCCAGCAAATGCGATAGACTATTTGGGAAACAGTACACAAGTACTAAATAACTAAAAGTACTTATCGACGGCGAAATGCCTTGGCACTTGTCCTATCCTATATGTATTTTTCGATTACTTCTTTATATTTTTTTTTAATTTTTGGTTAACGTTTGAGTTTTATAAGAACGCCTTTAAACCATAATTTTGTACGATGTCGGTTAGGAGGTATTGGCACTTCACCGTCTCTCGATAGTAGTATATATATCTTACGTTTATTGTAAGGTCGAAAATCAAATGTCAAATAGGCCTCAACGTTTATGTTAGCTTAATAATGGCGTCTCAATGGCGAATAAATGCATTTTGCCACTGCGTTAGCTACCTTAGGACCAATAAATTTTATTAATAGTAATGGCGTAATGAAGGGTGATACATATGTTTGTTATTTTGTGATCGAGTATCCTAATGAAGAACGGTGTCAAAATTATTAGTTAGTGAAATATTATTTTTGGATACCACCGTAGCCAAGTGGCTCGCACGCTGGTTTCAAGGTCCATCTGACGTTCCAGGTTCGAGTTGCTATCGAATATATATAAAAAAACCGACTTTTCTATATTGTATCGAGCCTGGGTATTATGTTACGTTCATTGTTTCAGATTTCCATATTACGAGTGCTTTAGTTACTTGGGATCTAAGCAATGTATGTGATGTCTAATATTTAAAACTACGTTAATTTCTGAACATTACCGTAATTATAACAAAATGTATGCTTTGATAATAACATAATTTGATAATAATATAAAATTTACAAACATAGTACATGTTTTTGATACATGATTAATAAGTAAAATGATAATTTGATACG